AAGATACTTTATAAAGTACACCTTTTTATACGACATTTAAAACCCTTCTGTCTAGAGTGGAACCAGTTCAGAGGAGAACAGAAAATTTTTAATTTACCAGTTAGGCTTAAGACCTCCTGCGGCAGCAAATATACATTGTATGGTGTTATTTAAGTTGCTGAAAAAGTGTGTGTGTTGACTTCCATATGGCAAACCTGGAAAAATCCTTTCTGGTTCCAGATAAACAAGAGAGCTGTAAGATTGACTGTTAAGATGTGGCCTGAAAAATGTTGGGAATTTTCCTGTTGTTCTTGTACAGTAATTTATTATCCCTAATGGAAGGACTAGACTGCAAAACAGACTGCTAAATCTGGATGATTTGGGGAAGAACCTTTACTTAGGGTTTTTGTAAATAAACTCAGTTCCATTGAACATGGCCTAGATGATTTAACTTCTGAATGTGGTAACTACAGCTAGGATTTTTATACTTCTCTTGGCTCTATTCCATTCCCTTTTCTTCTTTTATGATGAGCAATTTATTTGCAATAAAAACATATAGTTCTGGCTGAGATGATACAAGACACTGACACCTATAGCCAATTTGGCTGTGACACAAAAAATTAAAGTTCAAAGAAGCTTCACTGTATTCTATACAAGCATGTCATTTTCCTTTCCAGACAAAGACCTTCAGAGCACCTGCACCATATATTAGAATTAAAATCTCTCTGGAATGATTGTGGTTCTGGTTAAGAGAAGATCTGAAGTTTTCAGAGCATATGAAAGTTCCCACTTTCTGTTGAATCTGAACTTGGCTGGGTCTCTCTGGCACATGTACTGAAGGATCCAGTAGAAAAGAAATCAGACTACAGCATCTCCATGTTTACCTCTTCCCGCATGATTCCACCTATTTGGAAGGTATGCTGACACTGGTAGACCAGTGGAAGCTGCCAGACCAACAGCTGCACTAATGAAGGATGTCACTGGCAGGTATGGTAAAATGGGAGGCTGGGGCTGCTCTAGGATACACTTTGAGGACGGTGCATACATACTGTGGTGATAAGTGCTAATTTACCATACAACATAGAAGCTTTAGCTAAATCTACAGCAGGCCTGCACAACTCAAAGTGGTGAGGGCCATATTACTCCAAAGAAAACAGCTGAGGGCCAAACCCTCCCCGCCAACCCCCCCCCGAGCGCTGCCCAGCCCCCCCCCAACACAACACACATACCCAGTGCTGCCCACCCCTCGGAAACAACCTCCCCCCCACCAGCGCCGCCAAAACACGCCCCCCCGTGCCGCCCAGCTGTCCCCGAAACAACCCCCCAACGCCGCCCGCCCGTGGAAACAACCCCCGCAGGTCCCCCGAAACACCCCCCCCACCCAGCGCCACCCAGCCCCCCCGAAACACACACACCCAGCCCCATGGAAACAAACCCTCCTTCCCCAGCGGTACTGAACCTTGGTAATGTGTTATAGCGGGCCCCTAAGGTAGTATAATTAAGGTAAAAGAAAAATGTTTTTTGCTAGAAGTAGAATAAGATCTTCCCCCCACTTCGTAATAAATTGCCCTGTTGAATGAATGAAGTGTGAATGAGGAAGGCGTGGAACACAAGCACCTCCAGACAGCTGCAACCCTTGGAGAGGGGATGGGAGCCAGACCAGATCAGTAGAACAGGTCAGCCATCGACTCGCCGCTCGCCTCCTCAGCTCCCCTCCCCTGGCTCGCCTACTCACCGCCTGCCACTGCCCACCCGCTCACCTCCTCAGCCCACACCCTCCTCAGCCCCCCACTCCTGCCGCCGGCTCACCTGCCCCCCCCCGCCTCCTCACCCCCCGCTCGCCTCGTCAGCCCCCCTCCTTCACCCACCGCTTGCCTACTCACCCCCCCCGTGGGCCGCACAGTGAGCCCACACGGGCCGCATGCGGCACACGGGCCGCATGTTGTGCAGACCTGATCTACAGGAACCAGTAGGAATGCAGAGTCAGCAGGCAGCCTTCTCAAGCTGCCCTAAGCAGAGAGGTCAAATATTGTATTTATTTGGCGTATCCAACAGTTTGTGACAGGATATTCTCTCACTCCCAATCACAATGTTTTGGAGAGCAGTGAGCTTGAAGCTGCTCTCTCTCAGACAAAGCAAGTAAACTGTGGTCAGAATACTATGTTGCAGCAATCCAGCAGGGGGAGTCTGAACTAAAATAAAGCTCCTATTTAAGCTCCCTTTGTTGGTATGAAATGGGCAGTACTAGCTCAGCAATGAAGTCCAGACCAATGCTCATTAATGCAAAGAGTGGGTTTACAATTAATGTGCCATCTCAGCTAAGTACAGCTGTGCAAATGGACGATCCTACAATATGCCAGAAACAACTGAAATTCTAAACTACAAGTCTAGTAACTTTGCAATGCTGTGTTTTTGCTGAGAAATACGATCTACCTTGAACAATTTATGACAAATCATACTTTACTTTCAAACATTCATTTATTTTAATTAATTTATCTCTTTCAAAATGTATGTTAATATTCAATCTTTGCATATTTGAAACTTTTCCAAATTGGTCAAGTATTTTGCATAACTTTGAGTGCGTATATGTATATTTTAAAGCATGACAGTCAAACTTGCCTGTTAAAAGTAAAAGTAATCTATTTAAATAAACTGGATTTATTCTGAAGTGGGACTGTTTTATAGTGTTTATGGTTTTTGTGCCAATACACTTAATGTGAAAAACAATGTGCTTTGTTTTATGAAAAGCATTAGTATGGATTTCTATTCTTGTTTGTGGTAGATATTTGAAAACAAAATATAGATGTTTGGCCAACACTCAAGAAATCTTCGTTAAACTTTCCTGCTTTCATCATTGCTCAGCTCATCACACAAGCCATCTGCATAAATAAAGATGTAAGCATCTGTTATATGGCAAGTGGTCTCAGGGGCAGATGTTTTTATCCTTGCATTCATGTCACTGGGCTTGGATACATTATTTGAACAGATGTACACAATCTGAAAGTGATGTGTCCCACAGTGAAACATCTCCAACTGCTTTCTATCAAAGTACATAAATGCTATTTGCACCTGCATTTATACTAATGATATAAAGGCAGCGGGGGTTCTGACAAAGTGCTATGAAATACATTTACATGGTTAATTGAAGTTTGAGAGCTTCAAGCGCCAAATGACTGTACTGACATTGATATACATTGAACTAAATTGTATAAATGATTTTTTTTTTAACATGAATGAATTGATGATAAGGCCATGCCCAGCAGGAAACCTGTGATTCCAGTTTACCATTAGTAAGATTTTATGCATGGTATATTATAAAAATAATAGAAAAACATATGATAATACATTCCAGAATCTACCTGAGCTGTTTCATGTTGTAAGACCAGTTCATATTAGCCTTGTTTAGAGGACAAGATTTATAAATCACGCGTTTCCCCATCTGAAGCTTTGTTAGCCCTCCAACAGGCTGATAATCCACAATGGTATTTTGCATGGCTATTAAGCATTAGAAAAATCCCAGTTTCCAAAGTTAAGGGGACAAATAATACACTTGCACGTGAAATTCTGTGTATAATGTTAGATCAAAATATATTATGGTTTAACAATTTACTAGCCTATGATGTTTCAGTACGGATTTAAAAATTATAGGAAAAAAAATCAAAATCTAGCAAGTTTAAAAATATTTACCACAAAGACAATTCCTTTGTCACATGAGCAGACTCCTTTTGAAAAGTTCTGCTCATAAAATAGTGTTTTCCTGACCAGTATATATGTGCCAGGCAGGAATACCTATCAAATTACAGTAGTACTACTAGTATTATAACACAAACGTAGGAGTGAGGGGTTTCAGTAGTCAGTCAAGGAACTTGCACTAACAGTTATTGCTGTGACTTTCTATAGTTGAAAAATAATGGTCACTTTCAATGAGTAGATTTATAGGCTGATAAAACAATAGTATATTGTGTGTGTAATTGACTGAGAGGTTCCACATCCAATATCATTTGTTTTCTTACCAGTTATTCAAAAGAAATGTATCTGCTTATCATTGCACATAAATCATTATGAACTGTTAATGTAATCATAGAATTTTCACAGTGCAACAGCGTGTTTAAGAAAAAAATCTGATTTTTGATTAAAAAGGACAAAATGCTATTGATGGCAAAATACAATATGTCACACCAAGACTAATACATTTTTAGACTATTACAGTTTCACACTGATGTAACTTTAGTCACAGTCCTGTCAGCATTTCCACCATAACCCTTCATTTCCGAGTTTTATACCTAGGCTGTTATAATTCACTCTGGGCTGAAACGTGGCACACACCATCAGCCTAGGATGAATTTTTCTTTTAAAAACAATCTTAAAAAATGGTTCTGCAGTTTCCAAGTATTAAAAAAATAGCAGCTTCACCAGTTTAATTTTTTTCCTATTACTCAAATATGTGATTTCCAATATGCTCAAATCCTTTTTATTATTTTAAAAAAACTATAGCAAAGACTTTTCAGTTTAAGGACCAAAAGCGCATGCAAAACAGATGGATTTATTCAACAATAAAATACATCTCCAAAGGAATAATGGTTCCATCAGGCCTAGGATCTGCCAATGGAGAGGAATTTACAGGACTACCATAATGGCATCTTCACAATCTTTACAGCATTGCATAAAATATGCACTCTTTAAAAAATGTTAAAATACAAACATGACTGTAATAGCTCTGTACTTCCAGTTAAATAAGAAAAGTATTTTTTTAAAATTAGCATGAGCACTACAATGCATATTTAACAAGTCCCTTCTAAGCCACTGCAGACTATTATGGCCTATCATGTCATATACATGACACTTCTCTCAGGTTTTAATATTACTGTTAACAAGAATGAAATTCAGAAGTTAAAAACAATCTTTAAATGTTAGTTTTATGTTCAAATTCACATAGAAAAGGAATTGAAGTGAAAGATGAAAATGCATTCAAAATTCTCAATATAGCAAAGATGCATTACAGCACATATATATACACCTACCGATATTGGGGGAGTCAAAACGGACACACTTTTTAACCCTACTGAAATATAAATTGACAAGAAAAGACTTTTGAAGGGACAAAATAGAAATACAATAAAATAAATACAGGGGCTGTCCCTCCTAAGTGCAACAATAGGCACATACAGTAACACCAAGCATTGATCTCAGCATACTTGAATACAAGTTTACATTTTGTTGTTTGTACTAGTTATGTCTAATAACTTTAAAATTACTATAATAGTTAATAGTGTGGAGAAGGTTTTGTAAAATTTTTCTTTCCAAATTCCACTATAAAAGTTCAAAGAAAAAATATTCTAATAAGTTTAATAATCTTCAAATAATGTAGAACAAAATAAAATCAGAATTATTTTCATAGTATAGGAAAGTACAGTATTCAGCCTTGCTGAACAAGCAGTTATTAGCTTCCATTTCCCATCATAGCTAGTGAATGTATATAAAGTACCAATTCTCTTCAATAACAAAAAATTCTCAACTATTCCAGTTGTAATCCTGATTCTAGTACCTATGCACAAAATAAAGGTAGAATAATCTAAATCTGAGCTCATTTTTGTGTAGTTCTACTAATTTTCCATCACATTCCAAATCACAAAACTATAATTTCTCAGAAAATTGCTTAGAACTTATACTGTACCTTCAGAAAGAGTTAAAGGATTCTGCATTGTGCCCTCTGATAGTCACAGTAACTTTCCTGAAGAAGAGAAACAAATACAAGTATTTAAAATTCTTGATGATATTTCTCATTCTTAAAAAAAAAGAAAAGAAAAGAGCATCAATACAACACACTCAAATATAAGATTATGAACAGATTTACAAAAAGTCATTGATTTTTGGGAGGACCACTTGTCTATCTTTCTTAAGTTCTTGTTTAGAAATGAAAGGGTCAGCAGAATTAGCCAAAATACAGGCTATTTAGTTCTGAATGTAAAAGTCAACTTATTTTCCCCCATACCCTTCATCTTACCAAACCTAACTACTTGTACAGGTAGATAGATACATGAGTGAACTTTCAAAGGATACCTTTCATCTTGAAAGCTACGAAAGCATTTTGTGAACACTGTGCAAACAAGCTGCCACTTTAAGCACAACTATCTTTAAGGCCAATGAAGCTGACACTGTGTTCCACAATGTAACATAAAAGCCTCACTGTGATTTTTCTTGCTAGTAATTTTCCAAAAATTCCAAGGCATAAGGAATCAAAGCACTAAGCATCCACATAAAGAAGCAGCTATACAAAGCAAAAGAAACTGTCAGTAAATCATACCACAGTATACATTAAGGGCATGACCCAAAGCCCATCGAAGCAAATTGAAAGCATTCCATTTTTTCAGAAGACTTTGGACCAGGCTCTAAAGAACTAACATAATATGATTTATACATTACTTTTACTGCTTATTTTTCTGTTAATATTTTAAATGGATAGATTGCTATTTTAACTTAATTTGGTGCTTGCAAGAAGTGCCAGAGTAACAACTATGGAAGCTGATATCCTTTGTATAACAGTAACAACAGTGAAAGCTTCCTTACATTTCCCAGTCATGCCATGCTCCAATCTTGACCTGCAGGAGCTACCTCTAGAAATAATAGTTCAGTTGTTATGGCCCATTTAGTCATTTACTTCTCTAGTGAGACTTTCAACAAGGGTGCCAAGTGTAGTATTATACTTAACACTTATATAGCATGTAGACACCCATGTACTAAGTAGAGACACTACAGAAAATTTGCATAAGGTCACGGAACAGTACTCAAGAGTGTTGACCCCAGTCCTGATTTATGTGTGACTGTCCAAGTTTCTGATGGGACTCTACTGAAAAGTTTTCCAACCAACTAACTGTCATACCGCGGTGATATTTGCATCACAATGCAAATGTAACTGCATCACAAAAATGCCAACAAGTTATGATGCCACATGTTTACCCTGAAGGATAAACATTTAACAATGTGGGAATCCTGCTTAGATGGTGGTCACTTTTGGTCATTAACTTCCTATGTCCTACAGTAAGTGTAAAAAGCTTTGAATCTCATTACCCTACTAATCCTCTGAATTATCCAACTCCCCCAATGTCATCAAGCTCAGTGGTTATGCATATATTCAGTCTTCAATTTTATTTTCAAAGTGTTTTTGTATTGGTTAAGTCTTCATACATACAACCGAGTTAGCATTCATGCTCTTAAGGTTTTTAATTTAGTAAAATACAAGGGGCTCTTAGTAAAATTGTCAATAGCACTCCTAGCATAGGTAGTCTAGGTTGTTGACCTCCTCCTCTGCAACAGACGTTTCCGAGTGCACATGGGAGACAGAGTTAGCACCAGGGCTGGCTTTAGCAAGAGCGGGGCCCGATTGCTGCAAGCCCCGCCCCCAGGAATCGAGCCGCGCTCCGGCCAGGGTTGCCGGGCTTGGGTCCGACCCGGAGCCGCGCCGCGGGGGCCGGGCCGGAGCCGCGGGGACCGAGCCGGGAGCCGCGCCGCGGGGACCAAGCCAGGAGCCGCGCCGCGGGGACCGGGCCGGACCCGAGCCGGGACAGAGCCGCTGGGGCCTGCGTGCTCGGCGGGAACGGGCGGCGCCTCCCCGGAGCCCTTCTCGCGCCCCCACCACCCCAGCTTACCTTGTGCTGCCGGCCCGCCCCTGCTTCTTTTCAGACTTCCCGCAAATCAGGGGAGGGGATGGAGCGTTCAGGGGAGGGGAGGAGGGGGAAGTAAGCTGGGGGCGGGGTGCAGAGCTGCAGCGCGGGGGCCTCTTGGCGCGGGGCCCAATTCAGCTGAATCGGCCTAAAGACGGCCCTGGTTAGCACACAAAAAAGAGAAAACAATGGTGTACCTCAACACTCTGCTGGCACTGACACTTTTTAATCTATACACAAACAACTTCGCACTTACCCAGTACTGTAAGTTCACATAGGCAGATTACATTTGCTTAAGCATCCAAGCACAGTCATTCCCAGAACTTGAAGATACCCTAAAATTGACTTGACTAAAATGTCCGAATACTGCAATCGATAGCATTTGCAACTGTGACCAAGACGGTTTTGAGTGTGTTCCATCTTAACACTACCAGAGCAATCCAAGAACCGAATATCCTTCTCAATGCACATCACTTGAAACACAAACTCCACCCAGTCTATCTCCGAATAACCCTAGACATATCTCTCACATAACCACCAGAGAAAAACTGGGGCTCAGGTGAGGTTGCGTAACAACCTCCTAAGCAAATTGGCCAGCATTTCATGGGCAGCAAATGCTCAAACTCTCTGATCATTCTTTCCTCTGATGTCCTCTATTATTCTGCAGGAGAATACTGTGCTCCATTTATCATACATCAAGTTGGCTGACACACAACTACACTCACCCAACCTCATTGTAACTGGGACAGTTCGGCCCACACCAGTACCATCGCTTCCTGTATTAAGCAACATCATTCCTTCACACATTTGTTGTGAGGTTGCTACAGCCAGCCTACCACTATACACAGACCTCTTTGACCACCCAAAAGCATACCTGTTGTAAAGGCACCTATTGTGGGTGTGACAGTCTATATCTTGGGGAGCATCCTGGAAACCCCATATTTCTCATTTGTATATAATTGTGATCTTACATATAAAGCATGCCTTGTAAGGTATCAGGGGAAAGGTTATGATCTACTGAAAGTCATTTCTCCATCCATATACCGTATATACTCGTTCATAAGCCAAATATTTTTGGTAAAAAAGTGACGCATCAAAGAGTGGGGGTCAGCTTATAAACGGGTCTATACCAAAATTTGATGATTTTAAACTCTATGGAATCATTGAATTGAATATCTAATACATTGTCATTTTCTTTACCTGGAGCATCTGCAGGCATGGAACCCCTCAGCTCCCTGTGGCCGCGGTTCGCAGCTCCCATTGGCTGGGAACGGCAAACCACGAACACTGGGAGCTGAGGAGCTCCATGCCTGTGAATGCTCCAGGTAAACAAAACGTTCAGGCCTGCTAGTGGCTTAGCCTAACAGGCCAGGAGCCAAAGTCTGCCAACCCCGGAAATATAGGGTCGGCTTATGAAAGGGTCATACAGTTTTTGCTATTTTTACCTAACCATCCTGGGGGGTCGGCTTATAAAAGAATGGGCTAATGAACGAGTATATACGGTATGTATATCATTAATGCATATGAAGTTATGAGAATTGTGTTATATGGTTGTCACTAAAACATGCTGTAAATTGGGGAATCAACCAGATATTAGCTCCCCAGAGGCAAACAGCAAGGAAAGTAACCAACACCCGGGTGGGGTTTCAAACAACCCATCAACAAGGGAGCTACAATTCAATTATTCACCTGCATGAAGCCACACCACAGGAATTGCTCAACCTTGCCTGGAGACTCAGCGATGCCCCCAGACATGCCTGGACTTGTGTTTTCCAAGCACATGGACTGAGGGTATAAAACAGACAGAGTGGAGACATATTGGGCCCTTCTTCTGCTCCCACCTACGCTGCAACTAAGACACTGAGAAGAAGACAAGTCTCCAACAGAAGAGATTGGCCCATGTTTAAGGAACAAACCTGTATATTAAGGACTGCAATATCCAGTGGGGTGAGAAAACTGTTTAATCTAGATGTTGCCCAGTCTAATAGGGTTGAGAGTTTAGACTGCATGCTTATATTTATTTCTTTTGGTGACTAACTCTGACTTTTTGCTTATCACTTAATATCTACTTTTATAGTCAATAAATTTGTTTAATTTTACCAGTGAGTTTGTATGACGTATGGGGCAAATCTGCTCAGGTTTTGCAAAGGCTGGTGTATGTCCACTTTCCATTGTTGAAGTGCTAGAAGCTGGGGGTATTTGGCTCTGGTGCCTCTCTCCGTGTGATTCATGAGTGGCTCTGGGAGCATTTATGCAATATAGCTGGGTGTGGGGCTCCACATGCTGTTGTGCTGAGTGATCACAGCTCCTGGAGGGGTTTGCTGCTGGTCACTAGCAAGGCACTGTGAGAAAGAGCTCAGGCTGGAGAGAGTTAAGAGAGCACAGCGGTCCCACAGTTCCAGGCTGCACTCCGGGAGGATCCCGTCACAGTGGCCTACTTGCCCTGCCCAGATTTCTCTGCAACGATGAAGTGGTGTGAAGAATGGTCTGCAGCTGACATCAGAAACCAGTCTCTTATAACTGACCCAACCATGCATGTACCCAGCTTTGATTTGCCACACCTCTCATGGATCCTTCTGAACTGATTTTTAAGCAGCCAGGGTCAATGTGCAACTAGCCTTCACACCTGAGGCCAACAAGAGGATCCCACACACAGCTGTGGTCAAAAACAGACAATATCACACATTACTGACGACTGCCCTCTGACCACATTTGATGGTGGTCTGAAGGCTCTGCACTTTGTTGATGAGGCTGTTGCAAATGGGCTTGGGAAACTCAGGGGTGCAGGCTCGGCGCAGCGCTTACCTCAAGCAGCTCCTAGAAGCAGTGGCATGTTCCCCCTCTGGCTCCTATGTGGAGGCACAGCCAGGCGGCTCTGCGCGCTGCCCTGTCTGCAGGCACCATCCCTTAAGCTCACATTGGCTGCGGTTCCAGGACAATATGAGCTGCGGGGGCGGCACTTGGGGCGGGGTCAGCATGCGGAGCCCCTTAGCTGCCCATACATGTAGGAGCCGGAGGGGGGACATGTCACTGCTTCTGGGAGCTGCGGGGAGCAGGGCAGGCCCCCAAC